TTTTTTTCTAAGCTGTCAAAGTTTAGTTAAGGAGCCATGATGTCCCTCTCCATTTGTTTAGTTTAGTTCTTACCTGTTTGCAGATGCACTGGTAGAGCTGCTACTCCCACTGCCCATGTTGGGACCTGACTACCGGCTGACGGCCTCTGGGTGTATGTACACCACTCCAGTTTTGGAGGCGGTGGACACACATGTCCAGGTGAGGGGGGAAAAAGTCAGCGCTCCACTCTGTGTGTCCACTAGTGAAGCTCCTGCCTGTCAATCAGCATTTATGTGCACAGATAAATCTCAGATGAGCAATAGGGATACCTAATACCTATATCATATTAGAGTTGCACTGTGCCAATAAATACCAAGGATAAATAGATAAATATAATGAAGTCATAAAACTACCATTGTGGAAAAAGGAAACATTTAAACTGGCACTCACATACTTCACCCAAGAGAAAATGGTGACTTTAGTCAACCACTATTTGGTTTTATCCAACCATTTTGCATGTGTTTAGACCTTGGAGGGAATCTGGATTACCTGGTGAAAACACACCTGAAAGTCATAACACCATGAAAATCATACACTGACAGTCAAAATTTGAGCTGTAAAGTTTAATTCACTCCTATTAATCAAATGAATAGGAAAAAAGTAAATCATATTGTTCTGTTTCATTAGCACCTGCTCAATATATTTATACATTAAAATTTTCTGCTTTAGATTTCTGCAAAAAAATGTTATTTCATTATTTGCTTTTTATGTTTTTGGTCATTTCCATCCCAAATCAACAAATAAACCAAAGTTTTCTTTATGTAAACCAAGGCGAATGCTGTTTTTTTTTAAACCTTAACTAGAAAAAACAGGAATTTTCCAGCAGTAAATTAAACACCCTTGGTTATAATCATAATTGTCAAGCGTTTACTGTTGATTATACAGTACAACACAGAGTTGACCTAACACCTGTTCATTAATCTGTCAGTTCATAAATAGATACTCCCAGACAATGAGGGTAAAGACGGATTAGCTTAGAAGCTCAGTGACCATCATTTCACACTGGCACACGATGACACACTGTTTTATGGATCTCCCATAACAGATTTGTGGTTGTATTGTTGAATTAAGTATTTATTGGTTAAACATTTTTACCTTAAACAGCAGTTTCTCTCATTACTAGCCTCCAACTATGCCTTATCTGCAAATATTTATGGAAAAAAAATGTATGAGCTCTCTGCTTTATGCTGTACATCAGAGGTCTTCAACAGGGGGTCTGCGACCTCTAGGGGGTCCACAGAGGTACTGCATGGGGGTCACAAAAGTTTTGGTTGATTAGAATTTTTTTCTTTTATATTCCCCCCTGGAATCTTTTTCCACTAAATGAAATGTTTTTAAATACACATTAACATGAATTCAACACACTGATTTCATTGTCAATGTTACACTATCAGACGTGTTTGGTTTTGCTGGGCTACAAGGTTAAGAAGATTGACATTCTATTTGTTATTATATCTCAATTTTATAAATGAAACATTTTGCACAAGCTTTCCTTTTATGTGCACGGCTCTGAACTATTTGCCTTGTATTTAACGACATCTACAAACATTCAGTGACACACGGGAGCTCTTTCAAGATGGGCACCGTTTCATTCACAACACCTGTCCCATCAACGAAGAATCAGAATCAGAAATACTTTAATAATACCAGGGCAAAATTACTATCATTACATTACTCCATCTGTGGTAGAGTAACTATAGGACCAGTTTGATATAACACAATATATATAATTATTCGTCAATTTGGGGGTCCTATGCCTGGAAAACTTTGAAGACACCTTTCTTAGACATTTATATAACCTTTATTTCTGCTTAAAGAAAATATAAATAATGAATAAGACATAGATATTTAAAACATATATATTGATCTCAATATTTAAGAATATTTTAGTATCTGTTACAAAATGTCAAAAACTGTATAACAATTTGGCAGAAATAACAATATGGCACTACTGAGAAACATGAAGCTGGTCTTGGACTTCTATAATTCTTCCAGCATCAGCCTGTAGCTGATTCACTGAGAGCTTCAGTATCTCCTATAGGTCTGAGTCCCTGCCTAATAAAGGTTCATTATCACAGTAAGAGCCTGTTCCAAGCTATAAGTGCTACCAAACAAAGATACCATCACCACGTTTCCCAATCTCTGGGTATCAAGTTTGTAGAAATCTCTAAGATATAACATGTCTTATATTTTTATCCAAGTGTCACACTGAAACTCAGTTAGCTCCTCAATTGCTTTGGCTCATTTTGGAAATACTTAGACATTTTGGTGAAATACTTGATCTACACTTGAGAATGAAATTGTTAAATGTACCTGTCATTCCCACAAACTGATCTGCACTGAACATTGTCACTAGGGCTTCTTTTTCCTTTTGTAATCAGTGATAAATTCATCAGCCGTGCACTTTATCTATAAGACCAAACAATATGAGGGGAAAAAAATTCCATAACCACTTATAGGTAAGATGAATGTGTTATGATGGTATTTGTTTTGTAAACTGAACCTTGGTAGAATCCATGACATCATTGAAAAAATCGGTAAGCTTTGCTCATTAAGTTACTTTTTATTTTAAAAGAAATTAACCCAAAACATTTAGCCACATCAATGTAGCAATAGTTCATCAGACACATTTATTGCCATCACATCTGTGGACAGAAGAAAAAGTGAGCACAGGAGAGGACTCATTAGTCTGGATTTTGAGCTTAAAAGGAATGGACAAAACTGAAATTTCAGTTTGCACCAACCCTTTTGAAAGCTTGTTAAAGACTTAAACTGTTAAACTTAACTGTTAAAGTGCATTATGGGAGTTGTAAATATTGAATACAGTTGAGGGAGTAATGATAATAAAGGCTTTTCCACAAAGAAATGTGAAGAAAAAAAAAACCTAAAAGCTAGAATTAAGCGATGTTTTCAATGTGAGATTTTGCAAACTGCAACAAAAGATCAATTTTAAGGCTTTTTACTGACATTTACCATGAATTCTGATAAATGTGTGTATCCATATATATATATAGATACACACATTTATCAGAATTCATGGTATATATACACACACATATATATATAAATATATATATATATATATATATATATATATATATATATATATATATATATATATATATATATATATATATATATATATATATATATATATACACAGCATGTAGTGGAATCATCCAAATTCGGCTTTTAGAGCTCCTAGTAGCTCTACATGTAATGAATCCTGATAAATGTGTGCAGAATTATACATTTACATATATATATATATAGGCCTATATACAGGTAAAAGCCAGTAAATTAGAATATTTTGAAAAACTTGATTTATTTCAGTAATTGCATTCAAAAGGTGTAACTTGTACATTATATTTATTCATTGCACACAGACTGATGCATTCAAATGTTTATTTCATTTAATTTTGATGATTTAAAGTGGCAACAAATGAAAATCCAAAATTCTGTGTGTCACAAAATTAGAATATTGTGTAAGGGTTAAATTTTGAAGACACCTGGTGCCACAAACTAATCAGCTGATTAACTCAAAACACCTGCAAAGGGCTTTAAATGGTCTCTGAGTCCAGTTCTGAAGCCTACACAAACATGGGGAAGACTTCAGATTTGACAGCTGTCCAAAAGGCGACCATCGACACATTGCACAAGGAGGGAAAGACACAAAAGGTTATTGCTGAAGAGGCTGGCTGTTCTTAGAGCTCTGTGTCCAAACACATTAATAAAGAGGCAAAGGGAAGGAAAAACTGGGGTCAGAAAAAGTCAAGATTGTGAAAAAAAACCCATTCAAGAATGTGGGGGAGATTCACAAGGAGTGGACAGCTGCTGGAGTCAGTGCTTCAAGATCCACCACCAAGAGATGCTTGAAAGACATGGGTTTCAACTGCCGCATACCTCATGTCAAGCCACTGTTGACCAAGAAACAGCGCGAAAAGCGTCTCACCGGGGCTAAGGAAAAAAAGAGCTGGACTGCTGCTGAGTGGTCCAAAGTCATGTTTTCTGAAAAAAGCTAATTTTGCATTTCCTTTGGAAATTGAGGTCCCAGAGTCTGGAGGAAGACAGGATAGGCACAGGATCAACGTTGCCTGAAGTCTAGTGTAAAGTTTTCCACCATCAGTGATGGTTTGGGGTGCCATGTCATCTGCTGGTGTCGGTCCACTCTGTTTCCTGAGATCCAGAGTCAACGCAGCCGTCTACCAGCAAGTTTTAGAGCACTTCATGCTTCCTGCTGCTGACCTGCTCTATGGAGATGGAGATTTCAGGTTCCGACAGGACTTGGCGCCTGCACACAGCGCAAAATCTACCTGTGCCTGCTTTACGGACCATGGTATTTCTGTTCTAAATTGACCAGCCAACTCCCCTGACCTTAGTCCCATAGAAAACCTGTGGGGTATTGTAAAAAGGAAGATGCAGAATGCCAGACCCAAAAACGCAGAAGAGTTGAAGGCTACTATCAGAGCAACCTGGGCTCTCATAACACCTGAGCAGTGCCAGAAACTCATCGACTCTTAGCCTTAAGTAATATTCTAATTTTGTGACACACAGAATTTTGGATTTTCATTTGTTGCCACTTCAAATCATCAAAATTAAATGAAATAAACATTTGAATGTATCAGTCTGTGTGCACTGAATAAATATAATGTACAAGTTACACCTTTTGAATGCAATTACTGAAATAAATTAAGTTTTTCATAATATTCTAATTTACTGGCTTTTACCTGTGTGTGTGTGTAGATGTGTATATATATATGTATATATATATATATATATATATATATATATATATATATATACAAAAACAACATGAAAAGCCCATTCAGATTAGACACCTTTTTCTCTCCAATTTCTCACCAGTAGTGAAGTCAGCTGCGAGTCACATGACTGACTTGCTGATCTCACTGAGCATGCCCAGACGCCCTCAGTGTTGTCAGGCAAAATATAAGAGATCTGCGCTAGATAAACACTCAGACTCACACGCGCGCACCAGCTGGCGCGCTTGCAGGCGCGCACAACACGCATCTGTAAACAGACAGCAGCGATCGTTATATTTCCGCTGCGGTATATTTTAATGTTTTTTTTTTTTTATCTGTCATTTTAGTGGAAAAGCCAGCTTCTGACAGAGGAATAGAAGGAGAGAGAGAGAGAGGAGCAGGTGTGCCCTTTAAGAGGGAAGGAGCAGCTGAAGCAAGGGCAGCATCCCTTTCTACATCCTCTGTGGAGGTAAGTGTTGATGGATGAAAAGGGGTAAAGCCGACTGAGCGCATCTATGTTTGGGTTAAACCTTTTTCTAAAAAGAAAGATGGCAGTGAATGTATGCATGTGTATGTTTGTTTATGTAGGTGCGCACTGTCATAGGGTGGGTGGGCTCATTTTGTCACTATTGGTATGTGAGACGACAGAGGCCAAGGAAATGGCAGGGAGTGTGGGGGTGAGTGGGAGTGAGATGTAAATGCGAGGAGCAAGCTTCGGGACATGGGAGCTGAGAATGGAGCCTGGCAGGGTTAGACTGCATGGAAAGAAAGGATCAGATGAGCGCACTCTACCAAAACAAGATTATTTTAGCTCTTTTTTTGGTGATCAGTAGAATGTAAGAAAATTGGAAAAATACTCCCTTTTGTTATTGTTACTGACCTAAATACAACATGACATCACTGCTTTTCCCTTATGTTAGTATCCTGATCTGCAGTGCCAGTCTGTGTTTTTGTTCAGTCTTTCTTCACACACTTTTTGTTCCTATACTGTAGACAGTTTATTCTGCAATCTTATTATGCCTTCCATATAACAAGAAAACATCTTCATTTTGATGCTCAGGAACAGATTTAGGAAGATGTGGGCTCTTAGATGGACTCAGTTTGGGTACCCTGTCCACAGAAGCATCTTTTATGAATACAAATTAGAGTAAACTGGTGGTTAGGTACATCACCTTCAAGTCCCACAGAAGCATTTATAGCCTCCTTTGCATACTTGGACCTGGCAGTAAAGCATGTTCTACCTGCTTTTATAATAAACACTTGAAGGTATTTTCCATATGCTATTCATAGTCCAATTTAAATAAATGTGGTTGTATGACTTTAGGGGATACTATCCACCAGCATGGAGCTAATCAGAGTCATTTTGGTTTGATCAGTGGTCATAAGTCATGGATCAGACCTAAAATAAAAAGGATAGCTGAGTGATACAGAGTTTTCAGAAAATACAATTTAGATTAAATAATGTATAAGAATAAGCATTTTAACGACTTATCTTCAGATTTCATGATAATGCTTCATGACACAGAGAAAATGTTTGATTCTACAGTTCGTTTTAGGCTACCTAATGGAAGAGGAAATAGAGACAAAATATCAGCATGTAGGTTAATGAATTGACAGTAAGTTGCTAGGATTTTGCCCAGGCTTGAGGGTTTGATCATCGATGGAAATGTGATCCCATCAAATAGTTAGAATAGTTTGGTGTTAACACAGAAATCCTACCATCCATTATGGGCTTAGAGTTGTTATTGTTTTCTTTTTTCATGCCGTCATAAAATAGCTTTGGGGAAATATCCATCAATTAAAAGTACAAGTACACAAGAAAGCCCTAAATGTCAGGGTTCCCAGTTACTGCCCCACTAACATCTCCTGGATGATGCAGTTTCCAGCATTAAAGTCAACAATCATTTATATCTGTTGCATGAATAAATGATTATTCTCCCATTTTAATAGAATATGGCAACTTGAGCTTGAATGTTGTCGCATTAAGGCAATGATAATAAAAGTGTCAAAAATCGCTACATGTAGTCAGAGGTCCCTAAAAGCAATTGCTTTTCTGGAGAAAAAATGTAAACATTTTTTAAATACAGCAGTTAAATTATGATTGGTTTCGGGAAGATAGTCATTAAAATTAAGAACATATTTGAGTTATTAAGACAGAACATAGGTTAAAACTTTATTTCTAAACAATGCATAAAAAATGTCCATTCCCATACAGTGTTTTTTTTTTTTTTTAGCATTTAACTTGTCTTAAATGTAATATATGCAATTTTTGTCCTTGTATAGGCCTACTAAAAACCGAGTAAAAATATAAATATTTGATCAATATTATACTATACCAACAAGCTCTAGAAACAATTAGTTATTTGAATGTCAGAGTCGTTTTTATTTATCATTCTTGTCGTGATATTAGTGTACATGCTTATAAAAATATAAGCAAACCTATTGTTTTTTGGTATTAATAGACTAGAATCCTGGAAATGATCTAAACAAAGAAGTGGAAACATCCAGGGTACTGAACGTACAGCACATATCTCCCACACACTTTCTCTCAACGGTGATTAATGCTACTCTGAAAGAAGGCAGAGATGGCTGTTGCTAGGATACATGGCAAGGTGAAGTGCAGGCGATTTAAACAAAAAGAGGAGGAGGGCATCATTGACTGTGCATGGCATCACTTGCAGTAGACTCTGTTGCATGTTTTCTTTCTCAATTGATTATCTGTTTTTGCTGTCTAATTTTTCCAGGGTTGTGTCATTCAGAGAAGTGAGAGAAAGGACAGGCGGTCAGACAAAGCCCTGCTTTTTCTTTTCCATTCCTACTTCTTTCATCAGGAGATAGGCTGCAATGGTCGGCAGCAATCAGTATCCCAAACCTGTCTGAGAGAGCCCTATGAACTGCCGATCCAATGGTAAGTCAGCTGGGATCCTATTGGTGTGTGTAAACAATGAGTCTAATAAAACCATGTCACACAGTCCTCACTTTATCCAACATTAAGATAACTTAACTAAAAAAAGCTATGATGTTGCAACAGAATATCTGACATTTTTTGACATTAAGATTATTTTAGATTTATTTCAAGATGAAAATATTGCTGTTTTTAGCTGAAACTGTCATATTTGACTCTTATCTTTTCATATTTGTCATTCTCAGCTAGGTATTCTTATAAGGGTAGATGTCATTGGATGTTCTGTTTTTTCTTTCTTAGATGCTTTATAAAAGCTGTGTTTTGAAGCCCGAAAAGAAGGCTAAATAGGGAGATCAAAGGATGTTACATAGAGGCTGTATTTTCTTTTCTCTCTAATGGTGTTTTCACAATGCGTGGGCCCACAGGACATCAAAGGCCAGTGTTGGACAGACGAGGAGTCAGATGGGGAGAACGAATCTGAACAGTTCCTATATGGAATCCAGGTAGAGAAGGTTAAAGTATCTTCTTAGGATGTTTTATTTTTTATTTTTTTATGTCCTTGCCACTGGTTTATCTTTAAAGGAGATAGCAGAAAGTGTCACTCCTCCCTGCCAGTAGATGGTGCACTAGCATTTGTCTGCTCTCATTCCTGTATTCAATTGTACTTTTTTCCAGGCAGTTGCCAGGTGTTGCTGAAACTAATAGTTAGCATTAGAATTTAACTTACCTGTCAAGGAGGACATTGTTTTATGAGCTCCTTTGCTTCTTTAATTTGGAATCTACTCCCAAAGACGTTACTTATATTCATCCTTATTTTGCTTCTTTTATAGTCTGCTTAAATTTGAGAAATATAACAGCAAGAAGAAGCAATTTCTCAGCTTGATCACCGAGCTGATACGATCTGGCAACCCCTAAGCCCCGTTTTGCACGACTTGTTGTTCATGTAAAAGTTATAGGACCTTTAAAGCATTTTTTGCAGAGGTCATTATAATAAAAAATGAAATCACATCTTATCTTAGCTTTTTTTTTTTTTTTTTGCTTTGCTTTATTTATTAGACATACAGATCTACCTATCATTCATACTTTACTTCAGTTTCTACTCAATGGCTGTGGAATATTACAAAAATATAAAAATGCTACAAAATACAAACTAAGAATAGGATTCATATGTATTGTAGGGAGGCACTCTTATAATCAGCGACCCAGCAGTCCACAGAGGAAGGATCATTGTGGTGCTACCTTACTTTATGCCCCATATAACCAGATAAATCTTTGGTATCTCACCAGTTGACTTTAAGAAGAAAGTTAACAGTTTAAAATATTTTATAGATTCTTTGTTTACATGATACCCATAACTGGCTCATGCTGCATGCCTTGTGTGCTGAAACAGATTCAGAATGAGTTGAACAGAAGATCAAATAACTATAAATAAACGATAAAGGAAAAATATTGCATTTAATTTACCTTGATTGTTATAAATCAGGCCTTTGAATGTTTCTGCATCAACCCCAACAGTGTTCTCACTGCCATTTAGACAATAAGGAGGATTTGGTTATTGCTGCTCTTCCTTTTACTAATAAAAAGTACATTTATGTAGTTCAGAATGCTCTTTGATTAACAGGTGCAAGTAACAAACTGCGTAAAGACCCTAAATGTATTGAGTTCCTTGCTAGTTTAATATGTGCAGGTACTATGCTGGTTCATAACTTTTTTAATGGCTGAATTATATTTTTAAGAGTAGAAAAAATTCTTTAAATAATTGCAGAAAAATACAATAAAAAGCAGTTATTATCCAAAATAAAGGCTTGACTCCTAGACTACAGGAAAAGATTAGAATAAAAATCTGATTTATACTTTAAACAAAACCAGAAATGGTTTAGTTCTGTTTTTCCAGGTCATAGATCTAGCTTTGCTTAGAAATGTCAGTCCATTTAATTACTGTTGCAGTTCTGTTCATTAAAATATCAACTCAATTCAGTCTATTTATATAGCACCAATTTCCAACACATCTCAAGGCACTTTACAGTGACAATTCAACCTGACCATTCCGTCAGATTCAAAGTTTTCTGTCTAAAGAAACCCAGCTCCATCGACTCTTTGACTCTTTGACAGCAATCCCTCACACAGAGCATGCATACACTCAGAGGTAGATTTATTTCAGCACTTCTCTTCAAAGGTGAAGCTTCCTTCATTCATTACAAAGAGTCATATGTCAGTCATGCTAACGTTTTTAATGATTACAGCTTGAGGCTAATGGAAACATCCAATTGTGTATTTATCTAACACATCCATCTTAACATCACTCTGAAACAGGCAAATACTTTTAAATTCTTCTGATGGAAAAAAAATATAAGGCGTTTAATCTGGATATCAACAAATACTAAATTTCAATTTTAAGTGACCTCCCACTAAAGATCACCTTTCTTCTTCACATCATATTTTGTAGTGCAGACATTACTGAATACATTTCCAGTGTCATCATAGTTACATCATCTTTATCTTGTTAAGTTTTTTTCTCTACTTTGATATGAGATCCTTATCTGAGAGTTTTCTATTTTACTGTTATCTTTCAAGTCTTTTGGTTGAAAGTTTAATCCAGTAAAGCTCCTTTCAGCAAAGTCTAAGTACATGAAAGCAGTGCAGCTTAGATAAGGATGATACTGTACTGCACACCCTGAGCTATGACAGCGAGAGTTTGACTTTATGACACCAGAAACAAGCTTAAAAGACTTTTGATCATTATCCAAAAAAACATTTATTAAAAAATCAATAACCTAATATTCCAGTGGAAACCAAAATTTCCTGACTACACACTTTAAAAGCAATGCAGGGAGTAGTTTATTTTCTTTTTTGTCCTGTTCAGTAACACAAATTAAGAAATGCATTTGAAGTAATGGCAACTGTTGCGTTTAGTTGTATAATTCTCATAATATTCAGTTTTATGCTAAATAAACAATCTGGATCTTGTGTTTGAATCTATATTGTATTGTAAATCTAATAGTAGGTCTTGAAACTTTTACAAGTTTGTCACCTTATAATTGTGTACATCAATGGGTTTCAATATGTATTACTGGGATCTTTAATGATAGAGCAACTCAAAGTAACATACTTTTGTTATTTGAATGGACAGTGATGTCTGGTTTGATACAAATAAACAGATGTATGCAGTGCATTTGCTTTCAGCCACAAGAGTTCATATTAATGCAGCCATCTTGTTGTGCAGTCATAGCTGCAAATTTCTCTGCAAATGTTTCAAGAAAAAACAACTGAGGGGCCAATCAGCACTTAATAATCAGAACACAAGCATTCAATAACAATGAGAACAAAGAAGTACCCAACACTAAGAAAGAAGAGGATGAAAAGCACAAAACAAAAAAGTAGAATTATACAAACACAAAGTTAAATGCATTAGGATATACATTTTTATTACCTTGACTAGATTTGTGTAACTTTTGAAGAAAACATGCCCACAGCATATAATTCTGCCCATAAGGTGTTATTCAGTGTTGGTGGATTTTGTTGTTTTGGATTTTGTGTTGGTTGGTGTTTTGAGTTGAGGCAGTTTTAGTCTCATTTGACCAAAAATGTTTGCTTTGTCCCCTATGTGGCTTGAGGAAAAAACTGCAAACAGTATAATATTTAGCTTTCTTCTTGTCACTCTTCTAAATGCTTGATTTATTTACTTTATAATGACTTGCTGCAATCACAACGGATTGTCTTACCTGATATGTGGCTCTCTGCAGTTCCTCCAGATTTCCACATGATCTTTTGTTTCTTTTTCCGATTATACTTCTCCCTTTGCATAGCTTGTCTTATCAGGTAGACATCCATGTTGGGGTAGAGTTGCAGCTATGCCCTGCTCTTTTTATTTTCAAGTGATAGATTAATCTGTACTCTGCAAGATATCGAGGATTTTAGATAATGATTCTTAACTTACTTATAGCTGGTTTTCAGGATGCAGACTGTTCTCTGACCATCCTCAGAGGCCTTTACAAAACAGCTGCATACATGTTAAAATTAAATTACATATATAGTTGCACTGATTTTTTTAGGGTTTTTAGTTTAAAAGGCTCTGAATACATATTCGCGCAATAGTTTTCTGATTTTAGTTGCAAGAAATTTTGCAATTTCACAAGCATGCACTTTGAGTTGGTCTATCACAAATAATATATATTTGATTTCAGGTTGTAGTTCGACAAAATATGAAAGAGATGTAGTTGTGGGAATATTTTCTTGAAATGAAAGATATGTGCTTGTATAGTGTTTGATATCTGTGTGTGTGTGTGAAAAAAGTCTGTAACCACTGAGCATTCATTCACTGCTATAACTGTGACCAGTGCTGCTTGTTGCAGGGGAGCTGTGCTGCTGATCTGTACCGCCATCCTCAACTAGATGCAGATATTGAGGCTGTGAAAGACATCTACACTGACAGTGCAATCTCAGTCAGGTACAGCACAGATATGCAGAATCATTTGCCTCTTATCTTATAAGCTTAATAAGATTGCAGAAATTCATCTCCCACTATTCAGAAGAAATGGTGGAAGGTTTGACATTAGTTATGACAGATAAACTGTATCTGTTGCTGCATCTCTCTCTGCACAGGGAGTATGGAACTATTGATGACGTGGACATCGATCTTCATATTAACATCAGCTTCTTAGATGTGAGTCAGCAATCTCCTGTAACTGCAAACACCTCCTCTGACTTTTCCCATTACTGTTATATCGTTGACATTTTGTGAAGTAACATATCATTTATAATGCATCTGGTGCTCATAAGATATTTATGCAATGAGAAATGGCCCTAAATAGGCTGCTAACTGTGTGTATTTGTGTGTGTGTCTGATTCAGGAGGAGGTTGCAACAGCCTGGAAAGTTATCAGAACAGAGCCCATTATTTTGAGACTGCGTTTTTCTCTTTCTCAGTACCTTGATGGACCAGGTGAGTAAAGATGCCAGTGTGAATGTTGGTTTTCTAGCAGATACATTAGGTCATCATGCTCCTTACTGAGTGTAGGAAGTGAGAACAATATGTGTCATACATGTAGGAGATTAAAAAAAAGAGCTTGAATGTCTTTCTGTGGACCTCTTAATGATGTTAGTCATTTTTAATTATTCAGAGCCGTCAGTAGAAGTGTTTCAGCCTTCAAATAAAGAAGGCTTCAGCCTTGGCCTGCAACTTAAAAAGTAAGTGATAAGACTCTATAACCGCCACTGTTCCCAGCAACCTCAATAAGTTTTAAAATAATGCTAATTTGCAAAGTTTCTCCCTTAGTTAAATAACATGCTGCTGTCATTTTGCACATCTCTGATGTTGCTGCTATTTTCAAATATCCATTACTGTAGAAATGTCCTGTATATTGGTTATTTATTCTTCCAGGTGCACGGTTTTATATTGTTAAAACACTTTACAGTACAGCATTTTATTTTATCTTCACTAGTATGTTATTCTTATACATTTTTTCTGTAATCTTTTTGCCACGATAAACACCAGAATTTCCCCATTGTGTGACAATAAAGGGATTTTCTATTCTATTCTATTCTATTTTATTCTATTCTATTCTATTCTAATCTAATCTATTCTACTCTATTTTATAATTTATTCATTTTAGCAGAAAACCTTTCAAAGTATTCATACCTCTTATGCACATTTTGTCATATTACAACCACAAACTACAATGGATTTATCTGAGCGACCAAAAAAATTACAGCCTATTTGTGAAGTGAAAAAAAGAAAATGTATTTTTACACAGAAAAATTGAAAAAGGCTAGCATGAAATTGTATTCCCTAACCAGTTATTACCTCAGTAAGTATATTTAGGGATTGTCAAACAGACTTGCAGCTCTAGACACACATTTTGCACATTCTTATTTATTTTTAGTTCAAGCTCTCTTGAATTCAAAGCTATAGCCATTTTGCAGCTCTAGGCAAGATAATTATTTTTAGCTGTCATGGTTGAATTGTGTGGATCATCTATTCCAGATTTAGTATATCCTAAAGAAAACCTTGATGGCTATTGTTAGTTGCAATCTGTGTGAAAAATGCAAATTGTATTTGTCATTTAAAAGCATTTACCATGACAACATGAATGTTTAAAATAGCTTTTTTACCTTATGTTTCTGGCCCTCTTAAATCTATTAATTTAAAAAGTCTGACATGTGGCAAAAAGGGGTGAGTATTGGCATGGGTGTTGAGATACGATGCATGTCACGATTCTTGGGTCACAATATGATATTATAATGATATTGCAATATCACTATATATTGCAAATATTTTTCCCAACTATCAAAATTAAGTGCATAGATAAAAAAGCAAGTTCTGTAAATATGGGAGTATCAGGAGATATTGATCCTTCAGTTATTTTGGTATCCATGTTGTTTGGGGTTTCCACTGTGACTCCCTCAACTACATGGTCCACATAAAAATGTTTTATTTTTCTAAAATTTATATTAGGAACTGAAAGATCAATACTATATCAGCTGAAAATCACAATATATCACCAAATTGTTTGTTTTCCACACCCATGGTGGCAAAACTGTATCAGGGTAGCATGACTGTATTTAGTATTGCCTTGGGCGTTAAAATGGAAATTCTATGCATTAGCAATAAGTAACCCAGATAGGAAATTAGGTGGTTTTAGCAGACATTTAGAGCAGCTTTGTTCTCTGCCGGATATAAAACAGTGATACAATTATTTAATCTGCCACACTATGTTCATTGGAATATTTAAATGAGGTCAAAAGATAATGCTCCTTGTTTATAAATTAAGATGAAAAGCTTTAAACAGATTTTTTAAAACCATTTAAGCAGGTATATAGTGCTTATATTTCCAGAAGTGGCAAATATTTACATGTGAAATAAATAAAAACTCAGCAGAGACTCACAATCTGATGACTATTAACAAGTTATGATGGATTAAAGGTATAATTACTAATGTTTTTTTGGTCTGGACATTAATAGGATGCAAATATAAATAAGCTTGCTATGGGAAAAAAAAAATATTTCAATCATTTTTTGTAGCCTGGAATGACTTGTCCTTAGGCTATTGAAGAAGAAAACACAGTCTAAAAGCTATTTCACTCCAATAAATCTGATTTAATTTATATTTCCAGTTTTTTCAACTGAAAAACAAAGAACAAACACTAATTTAAAAAATAAAAACTTGTTAAACTGAAAGGTTATTTTCTCAAGGCTAGCATTCACTTAAAGACACTTTCAAAAATAGAATTAAGATACTCTTAAGAAAGAGCCATAAAAGTAATCTCAATTAAACATCTCTTTATCTACTTACCCTGCATCAGCTGACTGTGGCACATCGATTGGAAGCTTCAGTTTTCTGCATAACTGATTGATATACATGGAAGGTCCATCAAATGGTCAGAAACAGAAGAGTCACAGGGGGTGGTTTTTGTTACCAATTTATTATGTTCAACAAAGAACATGAGCAAAGTGCTCCATTATATCATAGGAAATGTAATTAGATTTAATTGAGATTATTTCTTCTTTTTAGGTCATGGCACCAGCTGCTCAAGTTCTGCTCTCTAGCAGTTGGTGCCTCAGCCAAACACCTTTATAGCCTATCTGGGCATTGACCATATTAGTGTTAGCTGTGCTATAGCCCATGCCATGCAGGAGATTGCTCTGGGTGAAAAATGTCTGTGAACAGCAGGTCATACTACATATTCATGAGACCATTCAAATAAATTATTATATTATTATCTGACTATTCTATCATAATCTCAACTGTACTTTTATGGTTGTTTTACTGTTGCTATTCTTTCAGGATTTCCACACTTGTCCCTCTCCATCCTTCAATGGCTTACATGTCTGTACTAAAGAAAAGCTTTCTGATTGCATGTTGCTAATGCAACCATGTTTCACCACAACGACAGGGTTTCCAGGTCGATACCATGTATCGACCTGCAATTTTGCATGTAGGCCAAAAAGTTGTAATTTTGTCTCATTCGCCAGAGCACTTTCTTTCAAATGCCATTTTCTAAACAGTCCTGAAAACAAAACTTCTTATTTATTTCTTTCAATAACTTTCACCTGGTAATTTTTCATATATTTCCAGTAGAGCAGTGGATCTCTGCAGTCCCTGTAGAAGGACTATGCACCAGACTGTTCCTGTGACTGTGTCTGAAAAGTAGACTTTTCAAAGTAACTAAGTATAGAAGGATAGCTGTGTCTCAGTAGATTTGCAGATGGAACATATCCCTCAGTTATAGATTAGACATTATCTAAGATGCTCAAAGCTAAGAATTGACCATATCCTGCTTTAAACTTCCACACACCTTTATACCTGACCTGTTTGGTGTGTTTATTTGTTTTTAATATGCTTTTTTGTTCACTAATGCTCTATAACATATCTCTGTCAGATTTATAGAGCTGCTTTATATTATATGTTACATTCTGTTGACATACAACTGAAATTCCTAATGGAATGCATGTCAGTTTAAGGTTGTAATGTTACAAAATGAAGAGAAAAAAAAATAAATGAGTGTGAAATGAGTATAAAAAAGATAAATGAGTATGAATACTTTCAAAGCCAAATAGATAGTCAAGAATGATTTTCTTGGGTATGATTCTCCTTTGTAGTGTATAGTAAATCAGAATTATAATTCAGCACTGACCAGAAGGACTCACACTGTTTCCTACTGTGACAGGATCCTGAGCACATTCACCTCACAGCAGTGGAAGCACCTCAGCAATGAGTTCCTCAAGGCCCAGCAGGAAAAGAGGCATAGCTGGTTCAAAGCTGGAGGGACCATCAAGAAGTTCCGTGCTGGGCTCAGCATTTTCTCTCCAATTCCCAAGTAGGTGTAATTTCCTGTGTCTAAAGAGCTAATGCCAGATAGAGCAATGAACAATTAAATTGGCTCCAAAACTTTTCAATTTCAGCCACCCATAAGCAACAACCGCATAAGATCTTCCACAAGCAATGTTATTTCCAACAATGGATGGTGATGTTATAATAATTTTCCAAAACTTGTCTGAAAAAAGTTAAATGCAACAAGAAAGACAACAGAAGAAAGAAAAAGCCAAAGCAGTGTATTGAGCCCTGACTTGAATTTGAAACCAGTCAAAAGTTCCCATAGGAAGGAAACACTCTTCAACCTCTCTCTAGGTCTAATTTTGTTTTGACAGGTATGGATGCACAGGGAATGAAGACTGGACACTTGGTGGTGGCCAGCTTCACTAACTAGCCTGTTCTGACATCATAATGACAGTCGTTGACAGCAGTCGAATGTCAAGGGGCTGTATGGATAATGTACTGTGTCTAATAGCAGAAGTGAACACCGGCTGTTGTCGCCTAACAGTACCATTCTGTTGTCAGTCCTGTGTCCACTTTTTGTGTAGACTGAAAGACAGAAGCACAATGCAAGCAGAAAATCCTTCAGGTAGAGGAAATATAGCTGATATAGTTGTTTTTTAACTCCATGAACTAAAATCCTTAAAATTAACACCTTAAGCTGGTACTTCTCTGTGAAATATGGTGTATTTAACAAGTGAATGTAATCCAGTAAATCAATTCAAAAAGTTACATTTGTGCATTTTATCGATTTGGTCTGCACAAGGCAATGTATACGCCCTAAAAAGTTCCTAAACACTTAGAAAAAATAACCCCTAAAATAATTTCAATTGGAAAATGGATCCTGCTTGATATCCTTGCTAATATGTAATCCACCCAGAGCAGGTTAATTTGTGTTCACAAAGAAATAAAACTGAAACACTGATTTGGCATGTGAATCTAATTAGAAGCAAAAGCATTTAGGTAACTCAAAGTAATAGTAGTCCATCTGAGGTAGGGGCATGTTCCCTCTAAATCTGAGATAGTGGATGGTTTAATGAGGAACTCAACACAGATCCTGACAAGGGCATCCATGAGCTCCTGGAAAATCTTGAGTGCAATCCGGTGGTGTTGGAACAGATTTAAACATGATGTATCAAAGATATACTATTTGATTCCCAGGTAAGATGAGCTTGATAGACCAGTGAAGGGTGAAAATACCTCCATTCTTCAAGATATGCAAGAATGGGTCCAGCAATAGGTCTAGATTCTGACTTAGACAAACTTTATTGTCATGTTGTATACACAGAGCATATACAAAATGAAATTTCAATGCATACAGCTTTTCAACAGTGAATGAGTAGCTCATAGCAGTAAAATGGACGATTTCATCTTAATGACAGGATTTCATGACTAAAGATTTCACCTTAATGACACCAAGAGTGTCAATGTTTATTCTGAACAAATGTGTGCCTTCCTCCATTGATATACATCTCCAGACCAACACTCCTCTAAACCGATCATGCACTACAATGTTCCATACGACATGACATTCACTGCAGTTTCTCCACATCCTTTAAAGTCACATCAATCCAGCACTTGAGTAAACCTTCTCACATATGTGAAGGGAACAGGACCCATTGCAGAACCTGCCTATTCTCTGTGCCAAGCAGTAAGAACACAGCCTGCAAGAGGATATAAAGCCCTCTGGCCACCCTCATGAATTCTGTTTCAAATGGTTTCATTGAGATATTCACACCAGTTGCCAGCTTGAAGTCAGTTTTTATGGGTCCTCACAGTTCTCACCCTGTTCTTCCTTGCTCAGATGAGCAGATGGCAGCCCTGCTTATGAGTTAAGGACCTCCCACAGTTCTACCCAGCACTCCTAGTGTAACTGTGTGTCTCTTAGTATTTCCTCTATGTTCGTACTAGGAGATACAGAAAGCCTTCTAGCAATGGTAACTACTGATGTGCTATCAAGTTGGACTTAGACTGACTGTACAATCTCTGTAGAGTCCAGGTATCGTCTAATTCTATGGAAAATTAGTCAAATGTCAAACTGCTGAAAAACAGTAAAGAGAAGTAAGTAAAAAAATCTATCTGCTGATCAATGTTTCAAGAACCTCAAACCATGGCGTACGGTATAACACTTTCAGATTAGAGAAGCCAGTGGGCTTGTCACCAAATCCTTCCATTGCTTTGAACGAACGACTCAGCAGAAGTCTAGCCCTTTCTTCTGTAGTCCAGGTAAGATATTCCTAATATATGTGGTTCAGGACTGGCCAAAAAAACAAGTAATCACCCGGGCTATGGCTGGACACATCTACAGTATAGATTTTAGTGTTGACTTCAAAAAAGGTAAAAGAACAAGCTTCCATGACTTATTAGATTTATGAATGTTTTCTAATTAATATGCTTCATTTTGTTTTATTTTATTTGAATGCTTTGTTGAAAAAAATTTGAGTTCCTCATTTAGTAAAAAACTTAAGCAAATGCCAAATTTGTGATAGCTTTGGAAAATTTTTTAACTAATAAAACAGATAATAATCCAACTTGTTTTGTTACTTAGGTAGTTGGTAACAGAAACTTAAAGACCATGTCGCTTAAAGAAATATTGACAAAGTCAAGATTTTTCCATGCAAGTTCCACTTTGGCACCTAATTGAAACACCTAAAATCAGCAATTTTGTCTTTTGGTTTTGATGCTTTACCCCATAAGCTACTATTGACAACCATTTCTGGAGGCATTACTGGCACAAAATCCTTTTCAGATGGTATAAACTTTTATTCAGGAATAGCATTGTCATGTACCCAACTTTTGAGAGCACTAATGGTTTCCTCTGCTGAGAGGCTTTATGTACATGCTGGTATCACAGGACTTGGTGCCTGTTCACACAGCCAAACATATCGTTTCCTGGTTTAATCAAAGTAGTATCAATTTTCTTGACCGACCAGCAAACCTTCCCAGCTTATACTTGATAAAGAATGTATAGTGTGTGTATATAATGTATGTCTAAGTTCTGATAAAATATAGCACCTTTTAATATTCTTTTTTATTAATATCTACTCTTATATGTGCTACAGTTACCCTGGAAATAAATGTCTTACAAGAAAGGTTTAATCTAAAGGATGCTGTTGATCTTTATAGATCCCCAAGTTTTCCTCTGATACAAGACACGGTTCTGAAAGGGAAGCTGAGTGTGCCTGAGCTGAGAGTGACCCGCCTGATGAACCGCTCTATCTCCTGTACAATGAAGAACCCTAAAGGGGAGCTCTTTAGCTATCCACCAAACAGCCAGGTTAGAGTCATTTTCTATCTTTCACTACCTGGAATGGGAATTTTGAAATGTTCTTTGAAGCTCATTGAAGTTTTACTGCGTAGGTTTATTGCTGCATTTATTCTTTTCTGTTTCAATGCACTGTGATCCACTCCCACCCTTATCCCCGTCCACCTGTCTACTGCATTGTTTCACCCGAGCCTTCTCCCTACCCTCACCAAAACATTGCTGGTGTGCTCTTTCCCATAATGCTTTGTCTTCACTTGACCCATCAGACTGTAGCTGTCCCGGCGGCCAGGGCCCCAGCGCAGATTACCACGAGGCAGCTGATTGAATTGTTTTTTTCATCCCAGGCGGGCGGCCACTGCAAGAACATCCCTACGCTGGAGTATGGCTTCTTAGTGCAGGTTAGATTTGAGCAAATATAGTTCCACTACTAAAAAAACACCTGTTTTATTAGTGGGTATTATAGTCTTTGAATCTTGGAAAGTCAGTAACTCCAGTTTTAAATCTTTCAAAGCCTCTAGGAAATTTCCTGCCTGAATTTTACTGTCTTTGATTCTCTCCTCCAACCAACTCCAACCAGTTTCTCTCTCAGGCAAAGATGTATTATGACTCACAGTATGCTTTTTCAATATGAAAAATTCTTCCACATGCTGTGGATTTCTGAGGTTCCTCAGAGTTACAATAAGTCTCTTGATTGTTTTACCTAATAATCTTTGGTATATACATTTATGTTCAATTTTAAATGCCACACAGATTTTATTTGCAATTATACAATTTAACATTATCCAGTATTACAAATGCTCCAATGATGTGTTGATCTTCCAGAGAAGACCAAAAATTACTCATTCCAAATTTTTTTCTTAAGACTTGTTGCAGATTAACCCACTAAAGTTGGTTCTCTGTATCGACTTTCTGTTTTTGCAGCACTTGTTCATGTAAACACGAGAGCAGCGAGTGAAAGCTATAACTTGCAAATACACTGTGCTTTTTCTCATAACAGATAATGAAGTACTCAGAGCAGAGGATTCCCACACTAAATGAATACTGCGTGGTCTGTGACGAACAACATGTTTTTCAGAATGGGTCAATGCTGAAGGTATTAAAGAAAGAACACACAATATTGATATAAAATTTGTATTCCTATACTTTTAAAAATATTTTTAAACTATATAATAAATGATTTAACAAGGACGGTATGCATTTCTGTGCATCTCTATGCTGGAGTAGAGCTGCATACAGCTCCATTTAGGATCTGTATGTATCTCTATGCATACTGTCCTAAATGGATTTCTCAGCCTTAGTTAGTAAAAAAAAAGTGTTCAATGCTAACTGTTTATTCCTGTTTTTACTGTCTATGCAGCCTGCTGTTTGTACCAGGGAACTGTGTGTATTCTCCTTTTACACTCTGGGTGTGATGTCTGGAGCTGCCGAAGAAGTGGCCACAGGAGCAGAGGTTATAAGGATTTTTCTTTATTTCTATAAAAAAAAATTTAAAACGTCTAACGAAAAACAAGCAAAAAATGTATTTTCCCCCCAATCACAAAAATAATAATAATTTTATTTTTATTCATGCATATAAGCATTAAATCGACTGGTAAAAACTTTCCCTAAACCTTTCCAGGTCGTGGATTTACTTGTGGCTATGTGTCGAGCTGCACTTGAGTCCCCACGTAAGAGCATCATTTTTGAGCCCTACCCATCAGTTGTTGATCCAAATGACCCCAAGACCCTTGCATTCAACCCAAAGGTTTGCTTAACTAAAAGCAACTTTGTGCATACATTTTTATTCCATATGACTCTGTATTTAATTTAGTCCAACAGTTATTTTTTTCTTTTAATTACCTCTAGGTTTTTATGTTATGTTAAATTCTGTTAATGATGTTCCTAAAAATACTGTTCTTTCTGTCTCACTGGATTTGTTTGCTTTCGCCTGGACACAGAAGAAAAATTATGAAAGACTGCAGAAAGCACTGGACAGCGTCATGTCCATTCGGGAAATGACCCAGGTACAAAAAGTAGGCAGGAGGAACAGAACTATGTCAAAAAGAAAGAGTCCATCTATTTGTATTTTTTTTTTCACAGTACTTATTAGCTATTTGGCAGACAACCTAAAAACAACAGATGCCTCTTTTGTTTTCAGGGTTCTTATCTAGAGATCAAGAAACAGATGGACAAACTGGACCCTTTGGCCCATCCTCTGTTGCAGTGGTGAGTAGGACATGAGAAAGATGAAATCTACTCCAAAAACATTTTTATTCTAATTCTTTTACCAAATACATCCACATCTCTACTACTACACTACCACTATTAATGAACACATTAAAAATTACAATACCACTACACAGTTACTGTTGATTCTCTGTTTCTTTGCAGGATCATTTCCAGTAATAGGTCTCATATTGTCAAGCTGCCTCTCAGCAGGGTATGCATTGAGAAAAACATTCCCTTTTGTCTTGAGAAACAAATTAGGTTTTGTTATTCTCTTTCACTATGTTTTTTAACCATTCTCTCACTCTCTTTGGCCTCTGATTACATCATTATAGCAACTCAAATTCATGCACACCTCCCACCAGTTCCTGCTGCTCAGCAGCCCCCCAGCCAAGGAGGCTCGCTTTCGCACTGCCAAGAAGCTCTATGGTAGCACCTTTGCCTTCCAGTGAGTTACCCCGACCATTAGCTGATGGAATTTCCTACTATTATCTCTACACCTTTGTATGAAGCTTTAAAAACATATGTCTTGTAAAAAAAAAAAAAAAAAATATATATATATATAAAAATATGCTTTTTTGTTTTAAACCAAACTTTTTCTCCGAGAAATCATGATCTTTGGCTGTAATGCATTTTAGAAAACATAACAGTATAATTTCGAAGAAGCTGCCATAATTTCTTATTAGAGCATTACGACCTGATTGTAATTAACATGCCTCTGTGCTGTTTTAATGAAACCATTACAAACCAAAGGACAAAGCAATGGCTTCTCTCTTGGACTGCGGAGACCCGTTCCTCCGCCAGCACATGGAGCCAGTGATATTTGTGTGAGGGAAATAGAGATTTGTAGTGCAGCAGATGGGGCTCTGCTGAATATTTTAGATACACTCGTCCCATCTGGGCTTTAGCAGTGTGAAACTAAAGCACACACAGTGCTAACACCCTCCTTTTTTCTGTGGGTTAATGCTTTTGATTCCAAATAAACATGCTGAATCTTTAATTTAATCTGGGTGTCATTGCTCTATTTTTAACTTTACAAGAAATATGTAAAACATAAACATCATTGCCTAGTCACCGTCTTGCTTCTACAAATTAGAAGGCATGGCAAACATAGGTGGCAATGACAAAAGTATTTCATCATGAATGTGCATGGAAGAAAAAACTTCTCCCTTTCTGCAGCCGTGAAATGATTTTGGCTCTTGTGTTTTATTAGGACAGTTTAAATATCTCTACTGGAAGATCCAGTTAGCAGTCATACATATTTTAAAATCTTATGTATGAATAATAAATGACAGCTGAAGATTATCCTGCTTAACAGCCCTGCTTATTTTGCATAGTATATTTAAGACTTAGATTAAATCAAAGATCCAACAAACAAACAAAAACATTTTACAGCTCTTTATTGCGAAACTGCCTGGTGGAGAAACACATTCTTAACACAGTTTATAAAATAGGCAGGCTTGGAAAATAGATTTAGAAGACAGAAAAATAAATTGCATTGGCTCTAACACACAATCAATCCAGTATCATTCAGTTTCATACACAGAATCAAAAAGGACAAAGTTAGCTGATAAAACTAAGCTTTTCTTTGAGTTACACTAAACTTCTACAAACTGCATTTCTGTTTGTCTTTATGCTCATAATTTGCTGTATATTTTATTTCTAATTTGTCTTTTTGCTCTAGTGGATCCCATATAGAGAATTGGCACTCTGTCCTTAGAAATGGACTGGTCAACGCTTCTTATACCAAGCTGCAGGTACGTTACCCTGGCTAACTACAGCTCAGATTCATTATACTTCCTCCTTCAAACAACAAACCTCCTTTTTACAGAGCAGGCTTTCAATCAGCCTGATCTATCTTTGCAAAAAATGGATGCACCTCACTTTTTTTTTTTTTAGAACAAGGCACAGTAAAAGGTTTTTCTGGTCAATATTGTCTGCTTTCAGCTGACACAATTTTCCAATCTATGTGGGAATGTAGGGATTTAGAAAGTGGTGTCAACTGACATGTTGGGACACTGCCTGTATGCCCTGTTGGCTTCACAGGCAACACTATAATAATTATCTTCTCAAAACTAAAATAAAATTTAATGACAATGTAAGAAAACCTAGTTTATAGCAATTAACTTAAATAAGATTTCTCTATAAATATCAATATTGTAATCCAGCAACAGAATTGGCTCATTTGTGGAATGCTGTAATGACTGCATGGAAATTCGTGCACATCCTGAAAATAGATTAAACACAATTAAATCAGAAATCTCAAGGCTCGCTGAACCGTTCTTGTCGGCTACGATTGCTTTGTCACGCTGATATGTCTAATTTATGCTGCCTTTGTTCCCCTGAGTTTTTGAACTCTTCTTTTTGGATCTGGGCTCGCTGCTTTTCCCCTCCTCTTTGTTTTAGCCGAAGCATCCACACCCTCGCTCTGTCACTGTGTTTCACAGAACAAAGGAAAACTGAGTCTCTCCATCTCCTCTTACCACACAAACCTTAAGTTCTTGTTTCTAATTCATTCTTTTAAATATGTCATATCCTCATCTTCTTTTTTCTCCTGTTACCAAACCATCTAGATGCACCTTTTGTCACAATTTCCTTAAAATCTTTTCATAAGTTTCTAAATGAGGCTCAGGGTGTTTCTGCAGCCTCTGGTGTTTGCTCTGCTCTTACCTTCATTCACTCAGCTTCCTTGTTTGATCAGCAGATTGAGACTTCGAGCCCAGTCTTGCTCACCTTTCCTGTGTTTTTGTTTCCAATATAACACTTCTGGACTTTTTTTAGATCGATGCTTAAGTTGTTAGTTGTCACTGTTGCTACTCTCTTGTTTCGGGGGGGGAGATTTGTTCTGCCAAATAATGTTAAAGAATCCAAAAAAATTCCTGCATCTGGATTTATATGAGGATCATCACCAAAATGTAATGGATTGTTTCTTGGACTGAGGTGCACCTTATGTAAAAGTATCATTAAAAGCAATTTATAAATTTTTAAGTTATCCTGTATATAGAACACACCCCGCCCACACATACAAACTCAACTAAAAACATGACCTCCTTGGCGGAGGTAATAAATAGATAGATTCAATGCTAACTGTGGTCTTCTCTACCCACTTCACAATTGTGGCATGTTTTGTGTCATTTTGGTAATTTATATTGAATTAAAACAAAACAAACTTTATGGTTGCAGTGTGATACGGGTTTAGATAGTTTAGGGGGTAATAATAAATCACAATTTTCTTCTAACATTACCTGAATACAAGAACATTGTACATCTTTGCTGAATTTCTCTGAAAAAAAGAATGAATAACATCCCATTATCTCCTCTTTGTTGTCTACTTTCCATCATTTTGGATTTTGTGGTGTGAAAGCTGATATACGTAAACCTTTCCTTTGATATCACTAAAACTGTTTAGGAATAAATTGGGCTGTATTTTTTATACATATTTTTGCCTTATGCTCTTTTCAATCCCAAGCTGCATGGAGCAGCGTATGGAAAGGGCATCTATCTGAGCCCCATCTCCAGCATATCTTTTGGATACTCAGGTAGGATCACCTTATATCCGCCACTGAGACCCCACTCCCACCGCTTTCTTCCAGATGTGGCCTGATTATCATCTTGGAGCATACCATTTTTTTGGCAGCTGTGTTTTGTCATGTGATGTTCTTTAATTTGTGAATGCTGAGCCCATTCCATACTCTTATGTTGTGGTTGTCTTAAATGGGATTTTTTTGTGAGGGGTTGTGCAACAGGATTTTTCCCCCTATGTATATTGTTTATGTTCTCTTTCAATTATGGTGTGATGGTCTGCTCTTTTTCACGTACACAGTAATTTTTAACAGCTTGTAACTGCGGTCTTGAGGCTAGTTTTTAGGGTTTATATGTCAGACAAATATTCTGTCTTTAAGGAGTTTTAGGCTGCTTTTTTCAGGTGGTGCAAATTATTAGAACTTGCACTTAATGTTGCAACATGCTATAACACTGCAAAAAGAGCAATTTCCAATTGCTTTGAATGCATGATTATACAGTAAGCACACATCAAAGCAAAACACCACACAGAGTGTTGCTCTTTTGTCACTTTGCATATAATTAATATATTTTCAGATATAGGTTTCTAACTTAAACATTCACAATAAACATCTTGAACAATAACAAAATGGCATTGGTTCGACAAGTCGAAGTAAGATTTTTCAGAAAACTTTTTGAATGCTTTGCTGCGTCTCTTGTAGGAATGGGGAAAGGACAACATCGCATGCCCACTAAAGATGAGTTGGTACAGCGTTACAACCGTATGAACACCATCCCACAGGTGATGGGAACGTTCCCCTTTTTATATTGAAATTAAAAACTGTAAATAAAACACTTTTCTAACATCATTAAATATAACTCATAACAGGTTTCCTTAAAAATTTGTATTTGTTGTTAATATGATACACACTTTAAGTGACTTTAAGGATTTCATAACTTGTGTTTCACAACAGAGTCGTCCAATACAATCAAGGTTTCTGCAAAGTCGAAACTTGAACTGCATTGCACTTTGTGAAGGTAACAAATGTACTTATGGTGAAGTTTTTATTTAATTATTATATATTTGCACATCTTTTTTGTGAGAAATGTGATATTGATTTAAAACTACTCTCCATGTTTAAACCATACAGTGTATATTCTGAAATGGCACAGTCTTAAAAGGCCAGGTGCTGTAACAAAAGGGAAAATAATTTACTGAGAATTAAAAAAAACTAGATAACAATCAATTATTTTCAAAAGCATTAAAGTTTTATTATAATTACAAATGATGTCTTACAGTACAATGGTTTTTGCTTTAATAAAGGTTAAATGGAAAATAAACAACTAATACAATGAGAAAGAAACACTTTTAATTTGTAATAATGTAAATAATGTAAAAATTTTATTGAACACAAACTATATTTTTTCCTCTTTCCTAGTGATCACATCTAAAGATCTGCAAAAACACGGCAACATATGGGTGTGCCCGGTCTCTGACCATGTCTGTACCCGCTTCTTTTTTGTGTGAGTAATTCCAGCAGTTTATTCTGCTTGAAAATGTGCAAATGAGGCATCATTGCCCTGTAATAAAGAAACAATGTGGTATTGTCAGTCATCAAATAGAACATCAGTACAAAAAAATATTAATAGTTTTATGGCCCAAGTGGCCTTTATTTAAAACTGGCCTAACAGGAAAAGGGAGAAGAGATAGGGAAAAGAAATGCAGCAAAGTTCTCAGGGTCGGGATTTTTAGCCACTCTATTAATAGGATTTCTCTGCATGCCATCAATTAAACTCATTATATTATGGATTATAGTTGAACATTCAAAACTAAATTTATACCTATATTAAATACATTTGTTCATGTTTGGTTATTTTCTGAGAATTGTACTGAATAGACCAACATGCTTTTTAGCAAAACCACAAAATCAAAACCTTGTAGAACCACCTTTGTAGTCAATAACAGCTGCAACTGCTTTCCTACTTAGTTCATCAATAGATTTCTGTCATTTATTCTTTGCAAAATATGACAAGCTAAGGCAGATATGATGGACAGCTTCTTTGAAAAAAGCTTTTTTTTTTTTTTTAGTAACACAAATCTAAATGGTCCCATTGTAGTTCTGGATGTATATTTAGAAGGGTTGATCTCAGGGAAGGTGTTCATCAAACTTGGTCTAAAGTTTTGTGACAAACCTCCCCTACAGTGATCAGCTTTCCAGTCTGTGTTAAACAGAGGCAATATAACCACACGGATGCTCCTGTAACTTTGGAGGGTGTGTTCAAGGTCACATGCAGTGTCAGTATTTTAAAACCTTACCCCTGACCTGTATGCTATGCCCTGTCTCTATTAAGTTTGTTCACCACATATCTCATACAGTCATCTGAGGCCATCATAAAGCAGTTTCATTTGTACTGAGACTGAATTTCACAGAAGGACTTTTTAAACATTAAACAAAAAATTGGTAGAATTTGCATAGTGGACTGAGAAATCTTTACTCTGATAGAATTTCAAAAGTAGAATTTACCTTTAATTTTAGATACAAACTCTACTTTTTTTGTCTGTCCCTCAAAGTCAAGAAGTATATCTATGCATCTTGGTTGTAAAATGCAATATTTAGAAAACCTTTTTGAGGTGTAATTGCTTTTACAAAGGATTGTTCATGAGAGGTTTTCCATCTACGTTTACAGGTACGAGGATGGCCAAGTAGGAGACGCTAACATCAACACTCAGGAGCCTAAGGTGCAAAAGGAGATCATGCGTGTGATTGGGACCCAGATCTACTCAAGCTAATGGAGGTTCAGCAGCAGATCTATCCCTGTCTTAGCTGGGGGCAGGCAGACCGACAGGCAATTGAAGCTAATGCTTCGATGAGCTGTCCTAAGACCGGATTCTGAGGAATGAAAAGCTCCTGAAAACATTACTAACGTCATGGCTTTACCCATGATTTTCTCCTTTTTTCTCCTGTTTTCTATCTTCCCTGCATTGTTACGAATTTCCCGTTCACCAGACCCTCAATTAGTTTGCACCTGGTTTACCCCCCTTTGTGCATTGGTCTACACTAATGCAGACAAATTTGTAGAACTGCTGAGGTTAGACTGCTGTGGCTGCGGGTTTGCTTTCACTGATTCTTTGGACTCGTTATTTCAGTTTTTATTCCTCTTTGTGAATATGTAGTCAAACAAATATTCATTCCAATTAACCTTTTATATTACAATTACAAGAGGGAATCCCTCACACAAAGATGTTCTGTTTTTTAGAGTGTTTGGGACAAAAAATGTTGTCAATTTATTCAGAACTTTTTGTTTGAAGGTATGAACTGAGGCTGTTATTTTATGGAGGGGTTAGCATCACTATGGAGGGTTCTATATGGTATAATCTTACTTCCAGACTGAAAATTCAAGTTGCTTGTTAATGTAATAGCAAGACAAAAAGGAAATTGGCCAGGAAAAGCCAATTACAACATCCATATTATTGTGACTCACCTGTTGTGATGACAGATTTTTTTTTTTTGCTTTATTTATTTATTTGTTTGCTTTATTTATTTATTTAAAGGGACTGAACCCATAAAATATAACATATGCTTGTTCTCTGATAACAATGATGGCTTTAAATTCGATAGATAAGCAACAAATATTAATATCACCCCAATATATGAATCATCTGATTCTTATTGAACATAAAACAAAAGGGATCAACATGTTTTGGTGATGTGTTTATTGAATCAAAATGATGGAAACTCTTTGCTTTGTTATATTGTATGAAAATGTTTAAATTTCCTGTTTTTTCCTGTCAATTAATAATCAGAACCATTTACACATGAGGCCTTTATGGGTAAGAAATAGTTAAAAAAAAAACGCTAGATTTGTCTGCGGACCACAAAAAGTGTTAAGGGGAAATACATTATACAACAATACTTTTAATGATTATTTTAGCCTAATTTTTTATATTATAATAGTCTAGAGCATAAAATTTGTTGTCTAGCTTTATTTTTTATTTATTTGAGTTTAAGGGTCTATAAGTACTCACAGAAAAAGTATTATAAGAGAGAATTATGATGGTTGATGAGTTAGGATAAAACTGGAGCTGTCAGATCCATAACAATGACACAAACATGCACAGTTGAGACCCCATATTTGCATACACTGTTAAAAAAACATGTCTGAAACCAAAAGACTGTTTTTTTTTTAATGAACAACATGCCTATACAAAAATAGGAGAATATTTCATATTTTTTTTTACCTCAGAATTAACACATTTCCTTACAGACTTAATTTTTAAACTAAATGAGATTTGCTTAACATTTTAGCTTTCCTCCCAGAATTGTCTCACAGTAATCTGACACATTTTTGCCCTATTAACATGAAATGGTTTGCTTAAATGTTTGGGTCATTGTCAATTTTTTAGCCCCTTTCGTGTTCAAACTTTTATCTTGTGATGTTGCTTCAGTATTTATTTATTTTTTTTCCAGTGTGCATTTAAAACTCTCCAATTTGTCTTTTTTTTAATGTCTTGGTTTAACAGTACCAGCTTTTTCATTTTGTTTGGTTTGATTTCATCTAACTAAGAAAATTACAGATGTGTCATTTTTATACAGTGTATGTAAACCTCTGGTTTCAATTGCATGTAGGAGTAATGGGATTATCATGTGACTTAATTCATCTGTGATCATGTAGGTGTGGTAACCTTTCAGGTATCATCTTTTTTTAAGGTATTCATTCTTATGTAAAATGAGTTGTTTGTGTTTTTGTTCTGTTTGTATAGGCTTCACTTTCCACCCAAAAACTAATATCGAAAGCTGTTGATTATTGTCCCAAACTCCAAACAATTTTCCAGCAGCCTTCAGTCCAAGTGAGCTCAGTTTGTTCTTAAAAAGATACGAGACATTGCACTCATCCAGCAATTGCTTCAACTGCCGACGGTGACTGTCCTCGGATCAGCAGTAGATGGCTAGTGCTGGACAATAAGTGATAGTAAAAAAAATACATATATACCCAACCTCTTAACTATGCTATGTCTCCACAAAAAATACAAATGCATCTGGAACTGGAACTCTAACAACTTACTGGACATACATATGCTGCAAAGAAAGCAAACTGTATATAAAGACACTGGAAAACTTGGGTAAAATGATAAGGATGATGGACATGTGACAGTAACCCAGAGCAGTGCCAGACTCTGCCAACAGCTGATAACTGTTTCTGCCAAGATGTGTGAGTGCCCAGCCTCTTTAGAGGTCTATTTTCTCACCGTCTGTCTCTGCTTTGTGATGCTTCAAAGATTGTGATGATTATGGCGCTGATGAAAAGCAGCAGTGTTGGAGAAAAAAGAATAAAGCCTGATTTGCACAGTTTTACAAACCGACCAATTCGCTTTGATGTCTGTTGAAAATAAGTCACAATCAACGATGGACGTCGTCTATTGTTGTTGAGCTTTTAGGCTGATGCTTCAGACAGAAGGTGGCAGTATTACTCCACAGCTGTTCAAGCTGAACCACAGCTCAGTTTGCAGATGCATCTAAAGACAAAATCACACCTTTTTTTTCTTGTCATAATTCATGGTTATTTTCTTTAAATGGGTATACTTGATTGTGAAGAAGAGAAATAATTTTTGATCAGCCAATTTATTTACAAAGCCATCATGTGTGAGAAAACTCAAATGTTTCAGCTGTTATTAGAAGGCTTTGTTATCAGTTCTCTGGGTGTTGATGAAAACAAAATAAGGTTTTCTACTGAACTGTTGCATTATAGAAGGAATTGAAACAAGGCTAATAACACAACAACATGTACTATATCTTTATTCTTTTTTTAAATTGTTTTTCATTAATGTTTGACTGATTCCCTGACTGACTTACAGCTTTAAGAGGACATCAGTTGCTGTTGTTGAACAGCCAAAGCTGTGTTGCCCTCTGGGCTCCTGTTTCTCTCTCTGACCACAGAAAGCTCTCATATTTCAAACCTCCACAGCAGTCCGGTCAGATTGTTGTTTTGGCACCTTTTATGGGTACAAGCGCTGTCTGTGTTGAGAGCAGGCCTGATCATTGGGGAGCACAAACAGGCTCTTGAGTGGCACTTTATCTGTGTGTGTGTGTACATGCCCGTGAAATTGAACGCCTTCCTTTTATAGGCTGACCCATTTGAAAGGAGCACGCAGTTAGGCCTTTGTGCTTAGAAATGTATAGATGCTTGTGACTACCAGCAGATGATCTGTATGATTCACAAATTACTATGATCTCTGTTACCAGGACCTCATTTTGGACATGGTCCCCTGGTTTGCGTTTGTCCCCCAGTATCACAGCCAGCTGGCTGGTTGCTTGGAAATTTAAACCGCTTCGACCCAAATGGTGTTACTTTATGCACAGTAGCAACTCCTACCACAGAGGGGAGCTCTTGTGTTACTCTGCTGTTCTTTGTTTCAGTAGCTTTCTTTGCATATAGTTAACATATGCACTCCTCCAGACTCACACACACATGCTGGTAAACAAACACACACACCAAAACACTCCACTGTGGTTGTTTGGTCAGATAAAGGAGTTGTGACGGCAGGGCACAGGGTCACTGAGGGTTGTCTGGCCCTCACTGGATGCGGCTGCTCCCAGCCTCGCGGTCTCCAGCTTTTGTAATAAGTGTGACCATTTGATTCCTGCACAAAAGGAGCAATTACTGGGAGTTGTTTAATCACCCACATTTTTATTGAGCACGGGGTCTTTTAGCTTGCAGCTCAGGCCCTCGTCTGTGGCGGCAGTCGGTGACAGGAGTGACAGAGAAGGTCAGTGGTTTAACCAGGCACGAAGAGGTTTTATTTGAATTAAGACTTTGCGGACCACTCTGCACACTGCAAAGCCCCCTGAGACAGAAACAAAGAGGTACCCAAGACCAGGGGCAGGTTTACTGGCCAAGGCGGAGAGACAGATGAACTTAAGAGAGAGAATAGAGTAGAATTAAGGGCTTGGTAGACACGTCATGCTTTTATTTCTGCAGTCACATCAAACTGGTACTTGGCGTTTTGATTCTATCTTTAGGAGGTCTGGATATACAGAAGCAAAGCCTCATAAGGTCTGAAAATGAATACTTAAAAAAAGCTGCAAAAAAAGTTTCATTCTTAAGTCCTAATACGTTGTTAATCTACAAAAGAAATTAAATGAAAGAGATGGTAATTTTTGTACAGATTCCTTCTTTATATTTCTCATAAACTGGATACTATATTTTAACTGCTTATCTTTGGTAATACAGCTAAAAAGTACCAAATATTATGTTCTTCAAGAGATTTCATCTGTAATATGTCACAAAACCTATTTAAGAAAGTAATTTCAGATGAAGAAATACCTTCTTTATGGAAAGGGTGCCATTGGACTGGAGATTATATGCACTTGGCAAATGGCTTGGGCTATTTTTACATGAATTAGAAATTAAAATTCAATTTAAAAATATTTTATTGATGCCAAAGTGAAGGAAGTGTGATATGGCTTGGAGTCTTTTTAGGCTGTTGTGAATAGTGGCCTTTAGATAGTCTACATTCTTCACCTTATTTCTCTCAAATAGGGTTTAAATCACGCAGGTTTGGCGGCCAATCAAGTGCAGTAAGGCTATAGTTATAAAAACTATATTCCTTAAACCAAAATTACTTGGTAGACAGTTACACTGACTTTGGACAGGATAAAACACAAGATCTTCAGATAAACTTGGATTATTTGTCTCACCATTCCTTGTTGATATCAAAACAATTGAAAGAAAACTTTCATTTGAAATGAGAAACTAATTTCAGCAGGATACAACCGGCTAAAATTAGCTTCCTCCACACGTTGGGAACTTCCTTAGAGATGAGGGCAGGACCTTGATCATCTGAAAGAGGATCAGAGTAGAGCCCCTTCTCCTTCACATCGAGAGGTGGCTGAGTCAGTTCAGACATCTGTTTGAGATGCCCCCTTGAACGCTTCCCTTGGGAGGAGGCTAAGGCAGGACTATGTCTCAGCGCTGAAACGCCTTAGGCTTTCCTCCATTTCCTCTGAGGTAAGCCTAGAGGTGTCTGGAAAGAAAGGAGCCTGGAGGTGTTTGCTGATACCGCTACCCTGGGATGAAAAAGAGGAAGATGACGACAAAAAAAATTTGAACGTCGGATGATGGGCATATGGTATATAAGTTAGTTCTTTTTTGTTGTTGCTGTTTGGTAAGTGGCTCAACAGTTTTTTTTAATGAATAGTGCTTAAAACACTGACCCTGGATGCAGTAACTTTGTTAGGCTCCCCCCATTTTTTCTACCACACTTTTTCTTCCACTAAACTTCCAATTAAAATGCTTTCAGCGATATTCTTCCCCAGCCTTCGCTGTTTAATATACTTGTAAAAATCTTTATGACTGGCTGTTCAACAACTGCCCGCAGGTTCCTTCATGACTTAGTAAGGTGTCAAATAAATTTCTATATCACATTTTTCGGTTTAACTATCAAAGAAACTGAATTTAGAATTTTTTATTAGCTGTGAGACATAATCATCACATTTTACTGAAATAAAAACATACAATATATCAACCTGTATTTATTTAGATAGTATAGGTCTCACTTTTAACAAGGATGCAAAAATGTGTTGTTTTTTTGCAAAAAGAAAAAGCTTAGAAAACCAAATAAGCTATATGCTACTTTTCAACTAACAATTCAGCTTTTTATTGAATTGTGTTATTCTCCTGTTTCAGTGTGCATGCACAGCCTCTCCCATACCTCCTTTACTCTTCGCCAGGTTATGAATGATGGAGTGCAAGTGGTCCTCTCTTCCCTCAGAGATAACAAGAGTGACGTTGGGAGGTGAAGAAGGTGAATGGGATAGTGAAGAACTGAATAGCAAATGTTGATGGTGGTGGGATGGCACAAAATGGCAAAGAATCACACTCCAAGGAAAGGTCTGTGCATGGTGCTGGTAGAAAGAGATAAAGCACTGATGAGGATGAGAGAGAGAAGGAGGAAGGAAGGAAAAGAGTACACCAATGCTTGCTCATAAAGCCAACAGCTGTGTGGGTAATGTTTTGTGACACCGAGCCTCTCCGAGCCCTTCTGTTTCCCAGGGAGCAGGGGGAGGGAGACGCCATATTCCGTCGTCACAAATGGCTCTGTCATTCACCCCCTAAGTCTTAATTATCACTCGCAGTTTTTCTTGGCCCCATCTCGCTTTGGCGTATGGATCCATCTGCATGTTGTATAATTCCACTCCGCAATTTACAAGTGGCATTTATTACAATGGCCTCTTCGGCATCTCCTCTTAAGCACCAGCAGTCCTTCCCGGGGAGATGGGGGGGGACAAAAGAGCAGTAGCCTCCAATCTGGCAGCAACAGCACCCATCCTCAGTTCGTTTTTTGTTTTCATCTGTACTGATGCTCTCTGCTCAACTATCTCCCTTCCCCCGTATTACTAAACATTTCAGCTTTTATTTGTGTGTGTGTGTGGTATTTTTTTCTTTGTTATTAATATAATTTTTATGGGATACACTGTATGCACACCAACCGCCCCTATCTGCCTTGAAGCAG